TTACCTCTTGGACACCGCATATACCTACGAAAGGATTCCCTGTGCCGTGTCGTCGTTATAGAGTAAATTAAGAAGGCATTACTCTGTAACACTATAATAATAAATGATAAACATGAAAATCAAAAAAAAAAATTTAAAAAAGCAATAAAAAAAAAATTGAAAAAATAAGTGAATATTCTGGAAAGAAAGGGGGTCAAGGGAAAAATAAAGGGTAAAGGATATGCCAGGAAAGTGAAGGTGTTGAAAATGGGAATGAGTCAGGGAAAATAAGATGTCAGGAAAAGAGTGGGTTGGTAAAAAGAGTGGGTCATAGAAAGAAGGATATCAGAAAAAAAGGAATATTGGAGAAAGGAAATATTGAGGAAAAAGAAATGTTGAAAAAAAGGTAATGTTAAAAAAAGGAGATGCCAGGGAAAGGGATTGTCAGGGAAAAAAAATGTTAGGAAAAAGAGATATTGGAGAAATGGGAATGCCAGAGAAATAGGAATATTGGTGAAATAAAAATGTCAGAAAATAGGAATATCGAGAAAAGGGAAATGTTGGGAAAAAGAAATGTTGGAAAAAGAGAATATTGGGGAAATAGAAATGTTGGAGAAAAAGAAATATCTGAAAAATGGGAATGTCAGGGAAATGAGAATGTTGGGAAAATAGGAATGTCGTGAAAATAGAATGTTGGGGAAATATGAATATTGGGAAAAAAGAATATGTTGAAAAAAAAATATATCAGGAAAAAATATATCAGGGAAAAATATATTAGGGAAAAGATATGTCTGAGAAAAGGATATTGGGAAAGTAGTTGTTGGGGAAAAGTTATGTTGGGGAAAAGGGTGTGTCGGAGAAGTGATCATCAGGGAAATGGTTGTTGAAGAAGGGGTATGCTAAGAAAATATTGTTGGGAAAATGGATATCAGAGAAATTGTTGTCAGGCAAGCAACATGGACCCAAAATTGACTTCCTTAATACACATAGAAAATCCAGGACAGGTTAGTGATAATATTACTGTATTAACTATTTATTTTAAAATGCTGATATTTATGCAAGTTTTTAATGGCCATTCATTTTGTTCCTAAATTACAAATAATTTTTTTTTTTTATCTTTCGTCAATTTCTTTTTATCCATTATACAGAAGTATTGAACTTTGGAATATCCTATTACAGAATTGTAAAGTTCACATTGGTATATTGTGAACTTTCTATAATTGCTTATAGAATTTTTCAACAGTTTTTATGGATTTCTATCGCACGCTTCAATACTAAAATTGTTATTGGTTTCAACATTCGAAAATAAATTGAAAATTTCAGATTAATAAATTTAAATTGATATTGCAATATACAATCATGATGATAAATTTTCCATAGACGGCTAACTGTACACAAAAATAATTGACTTCGGAGATCGGAGTTAACGTAACCTGCCCAGATTTTCTATTTTTCTATGTGCTATCTTAACATAGACTTTCACTCTAATCCAAATAAACCCAGTATTATCTGACGCATGCCAGATTATTTTACGCGTGCCCGGGTTCGCAACAGTTCAGGCTAGCTCGAGGTGTGATACTAAATCATCACATTTATAAGTGATGATTTAGTATCACACCTTAATGTCCCACGACCCTTGCGTTATTGTTGTTTATATGACGTCACACGAACACAGCACAGCACCTTATCTATAAATCAAAATGCAAGCAGTCAAACATATTCAAAAGTATCCATAATTAAATCTTTCATACGATTTTTTAACCGTATATATCAATGGATCGCCCAAATAGAAGACAACAACTAAATAAATTAAGGCAAAAAGAAATTTTGGACGAGCTTCGGAAAAAACGAAATAAATTGAATGAAAAACGACATATAGAACCGGAACAAGGAGACGGTAAAAGAGACGCAACGAAAGAATGTTCAACAAGTATTGAATCAACAAACAACGTTTTGGGGCCTGTAGACACTATAAATTTTACCGGGTCTTCGAATGTCAACAAGAAAAAGTGTGTTATACTCCCGAAATCGGACGATAAAATTCAACATCCTTCAAATTGTAAGAGGAAGACGGAGGATCGTTATGATGACGTAAATGTTGGTTCATCGGGTAATGGATCATCAACTTTTACGAATTCTACTGGATTTTTAAATGCAGTCAAAAAAAAACGGACCGTCTCCTCCAAATCAGATGAAAAAAACCAGTATTCACCAAATTGTAAAATGAAAGCCGATAAACATCGTAATGACACAGATGTTCGCATTTTCTCCAAAAAACCTAAAAAAGTTCCAGACAAGCATTGCAAAGGTGAACCGGAATCTTTGAGTGATAAAGCTTGTCATGTACTCCCGGTCAAAGAAAAAGGAAAAGGGACAACTAATCTCATTCGACATTCGCAGGAAATTGTAGAATCTATGAATTGTCGAGAAGCGAGATTTTATACAAAGTATTTCACTGATGATCACGATGGGATTAGTGAAATAAGTTTGATGTACCCGGGATGGGAGGGATTTGAATCATTTGCACTTGCTACACTTTCTCAAAACAAAGACAAAGATAATGAATACCTTCCAATGAAAGATTTGAAATCTACAGTTAACTTAATAATTGATCACGTATTAGCAGATGATATAGCTGAAATATTTAAAACTACTCTAAATCAGAAATCAGTGCAATTTGAAATAAACAATTCAATCAAAAACCGTCTACTCGACGAATTGCAAGATGGTATACAAAGATACAACAAAATGATTATGGACATTCGCAAAAATTCGAGTAAATTATGGCCGAAATATATTACTGAAAGAAACACTGCCGAGCCTCAATATATTCAAATAGTAAATCACGTAATAGGGCAAACTTACGACCGAATAATCGGTCCTCGCGTGGAGCGACTCACCAATATTACTTCTAACCTTGACTTAAATTATGGTGAACTTAATGCAGACTTTATACATGACATTATTCTTAGGACAAAAATTAAAAGTAACACAATTTTTGTTGATTTGGGTAGTGGCATAGGAAACACTATTTTGTATGCGAGCATTGCCACTGGATGCATGGGATACGGATACGAGTTGCGGCAAAAACTTGTTGACCTTGCCAACGAGCAGTATGAAGAAATTATGACCCGAGGAAAATTATATGGACTAGAGATAGGACGAGTTGAATTTTTATCGGGTGACTTCAGAGATATTTATATCAATCATCCAAATTTTATTAATATTTTATACTCTGCGGATGTTATTTTGGCCAATAACCGGACCTTTTCACCAGAGACAAACCAATTTCTATACAACCTTTTTCTTGGTTTAAAAAAAGGTGCCAAGGTCGTATCTTTAGAGTCTTTCGAGGGGTTTGAACCTCGTGGAAAACAAAGTGAACGCGTGTTCTCTAATATTAAGCAATTTAGATATAAAGAGAATTGGGTTTCTTGGACTCATAGTGATGGAAAATTTTACATTGCTACACATGTTTAAATTACCGGTTTGGAAGTGATTTTAATTCAATTATTATTATCATTATTATTACATTATTATTCCCGAGAAATTTATCGAAACGTAGTATAGTCTGTATATCTCTAGTGAAATTTGACGTAGAATAGAATATCGAGGCTAAAAACGGATCGTTGTTTATAATCATATAATTAAAATAGAATTTATGATTTATTATTCGTAGAATCTAAGAAACAACAAATTGGTACGTATAGTTTCGTTTCACATGACAAAGTCAATTAACAGTAGAGATTAACCCCGGTTGGCAATTGTATTCGTTTTCTAAATATAGAAATTTCCGATCTTATAAATTATAAAATTTCCTGGTTATATACAGAACAAAATTTATTCAGTTGATTAGAATACGTGTTTCGTTATGTTTGTTCCCTCTATTAGCGTTTTGCTTAATAACTATGGTTGATCTTTAAATGTACTTTAAGCGTTAAAGGTTTTTAAGGAATGTACATTACCGTATTTCTCCGACATATGTCTCCGGGTATCGTTTAATCCCCAGGGTACTTGAGTAGTGGGTACACCGTATTAAAATGAATATATGATTATATGCCCGGCATCTAAGTGTGATTTATCATACCTAGGCGCCGGTGTAAATCAAAATTGTCCTTTACCGCTGCTTTCGATGACCGAAAAAATTTACCTAGAAATGTTAGTAAAACCAATTTCATCAATAGCGATAGTGGTGAAATATTTTCAAAGTTGTAAAAATTTAATCATGTGATATTGCCTAAATAATAAGTTAATTTATTTCGTAATGCCGGCTAAAATTCAAATTTTGTCGATACCCAAATAAATTTTAATATCCAAATTTTTTCGCGTTCCGAATTGAGATTTAATAAATCTAATAGTTTAATTAACCAGGGTCAAAGTAAACAACCCCTGAAAATAAGCAATACCTTAGTTTTAAATGTTAAAATACTAAAAAAATAAACTAAGCAACAGCAACTCTTATAAATAGAATAGATAGAATTAAGTATTTCAAAGTTAATGAATTTAAGCAACCCTTTAAAAAATTTGGCTAAAGTGGGTGGCTTAGAGAGTTGCTTATTTTCGGACCTATACGGTAATTTTTTGAATATGTAATGATGATCTGAAATTTTTTTAGGTGACGATTAGTGATTAAACTCATTAATTACTTATTCGAGTTTTATTAGAGTAATTCACGGCAATTAGTTCATTGTAAATTGCGAGTTACAAAAACTAATAACTTCAAATAGCAAGTAATTTACATTATTAAAGTATAATTAACATTGTTATAATTTTGCTTCTTTGTTTTGCCTATTTGGGATAATTTTGTATTTGGTTAGTAATACAAATTTTTTTAAATGTAAAATAAGGTCATACAAATTTAATTACTTGGTTTTCATAACATGAAAATTTTAAATAGACCCGGCCAGCCGGCTTTTTTTTTTTTAAATTTCATATATAAAATTTTATAAAATTTATATAAAAACAAATTTTAAGACCCACTCAGTTATTAAAATATATAAAAAATTTTTTTAGAAGTTTTCAAATTTTGATCTAGCCAAATTATAAAAATCAATTTTATTAATTTTGCATGGTTTTAGCAGGTTCTTGCAAATACCATGGCCAAAGATCATCAAAACACTTGCAATAAATATTCTTTTTGGATTAGTTAAAGCAGAGCAAGTTTTGATTGCTCATAAGTTATATGATAAAATAACTTTTACACAATAGAAACCATCAAAAATTTTTTAAAATTTTTTGGTAATTTATTTAAATACAGTTATTTTCTTTAATAATCATGCAGTTGGGCACATACCAATTAGGTAATTATAAAGAAATATAGCTTTATAAAATATATAATTGTAATTTAATAGAGATAAATATATACTATAACATGTATTATATTCTTTATTTTTTACCTTTTTTTTAATATTAAGAATATTCAAAGTTGATTTTTTAATTAATATCATTTTTTCTCTCTGCTAAAGTTTCTTCTCAATAAACAAACAACTAATTAAAATACTAGAT